TTAGTGTGATTGATACTGCAGTCAGTTGCATTTTGTTATCTGAAGCAATACTTCTTTTATCTCCTTCTGGGTATTTGGTTTATTTTTTTAATTCTTGTTGTTCACAGTCTTTCATGTAAACGTTCAGTAGAGGAACTTACGTTTCTCACTTGGAGATTGGTTAATAGTGGCTTTTTCAAGCACTGACTTTCAGTTGTTACCATTGTTTCCAATAATATGCATATTGCTGATGGCATTTTAAATGTGGAGATTCACCGTTTGTGTTGTTTGTAACACAAGCATCTGTAAAAAAAGCACAGTAGCAATATTATCATTAAGGTAGTGTCCAAACTTAGGAATAGATGTTAAATATTGCAGGAATAAATGAAGTCATTCATCTGTCAAAGTGAAACATTTTTTTTCTATTAAGTAAAAGTAACTGCAGTCCTAATATTGGAAGATCACAGATGTGTGAAGACTATGCTGTGTGCTGTTGTCCTGGTGTTACTCAGTGCATCACTGAATTGTTTTGAATGAGAAAGGAAATAAATTTAGATGGCATGCAGATTTACAGTCATAGCTTGGATGGCCATTTGTCTTTTGGTAGTGCTCCTACATGCCATAATTTGATAAAAATATATTTAGTATGAACTGTTGTGTGCTTCTTTGAAGTTTTCTCTGATTCCCTCTTTTTTCCAATACATATGTACTCCAGGATAACAAAATCTCACAACCTTACCAAAACTTAGCTGTCACATTGAGCAAATAAAAGTCTAGCAAGGGCAGAAGATCAGATTAACCAACTAATAATTCTAAATGCTAGTATATACTTTCTTATTCATAAGGTTGTCACAGCATGGATTCATGTGGTTTTTTCCATAGTGCTCCAGGTAGTAATGATCTTGCTACCTATTCACAATCACTTAACATTCAATGACATGAACTCTAGTGTTGCTTTAATGCACAAGATAAAGTTAAGAGCTATTTAATAAATTTACATTCTTGTCAAGCTATTATATTTTAATTAGCTCTTAATGAATGTAAATCAGCAGTTATGTAATGCAGACAGTTGCTGAAGAGGGCTACAGAGTCTAAATTGTTTGGGGAAATGCAGATATATGGTCAGCATAAGTTAAAATAATAGATGGTTCTTTTTTAATTGGAAAATTTCTGACAAGGAAGGAAACCTGCAAAGTTATACAACATCTATAGGCTACAACAAAACAATAAATCATATGTGAAAGTGTGGGAGATCTGATCTACTGACTAAGTCAAGAAAATACTAAGCAGGAACTGACACCCACTCATTTCAAATGTTGCCCTTCAGTCTTGGCTTTTCCTATAGGTATGCCAAGGGAGTGGTCTAAGTCAAGCACTCTGTCCTGACAGCTAGCACCCCCTATATTATTACTTCTTGCAGCAGACTAGTTGTGAAACCTGAGACTCACACTGTCATTAATCATCTTTCCCAGTATCACATCAGAACTGTGAGACTCTCCTTTACAATAATTTTTCAGGAAATCAGATTAAAGCAAGCAAGGGAGACATAGAGTTTTCAAACATATGATCGCTTTTATTTAAATTCTTAAGAATTGGTAAAACGTCAAATCAGTGCCCTTATCTCTAGATCATACAGCCCTTAAGGGTCGTTAGGGTGGTATGTGCTCATTGAAAGGTACATTTCCTCATCATCTCTTGAGGATCCTGTGATTACATTGGAATAGCAAATTTCATTAAAATAAATAGGTAAAAAAGGTCAAACAAGCCCCTAATACATAGTATTTTTAAGATTGCACTTTAAAATCCTCTTATGGAAACTGGAAATAATTATTGCAGTGCTATTTGCTTAAAGAAAGTCTGAAATAGTAGCTCTCAGAGGAGTGAACACTTGAGTTTTGTTTCAATTTAATGTGAAAGTTTAAACCCCAGATTTTCTGAGCTTAATCAGCTACATTCCCAGAGGGCAAAAATAATGAGGTACAATTCGTACAAAAAGATAATAGTCTGGAAAGGTGTTCTTCTGGATTACTGCTGCTCTGGCAGTAAATAAAATTAAACTAAATTTTAAAAAGTTGTACACCTGAAGCCAAAGCCTGCTCATCTCCTCATCCTGCTTAGGAGTGATGTTTTCCCTGTTCTTTGTTTCTTCTGCAGAGCAGGCACAGCCATCACTGTGAAAACTGTCCATCTGTGGTGGCAATATCTAGTGCCACCACAGAATTAACCTGTGGTGTATTCATCTCTATGTCTCACTTCGTATCATCTCACTGTCCAGCATTCTTCATGGCTATGATGCTGTAACATATTTGGCCAGTTGAATTTTCAGAACATATCTAGTCACGTATGTTTGTACCCTTATCACAGTCAATTATGCTTTGAATTGTTCTTCTGTGATAGCTTCGGCTATCCATTAGTGGTCTCATATCAACATCACTTGCCTATTTGCTACTCAGGTACAACATAATTGCATAGACCTTATTTTTGATGCCTTCTTACTCCTTGAATGTTTAGATGATCACTAGAGTTTTTCCCTAATACACATTCAGGAGAGTTGAATCAGAATAAAACTTTATCCCTCAGCACCTGTTGTTGGGGGTTTTTTTGTTCGGTTGGTTTTTTAACACAAAGTAGAAGCAGATACTTCTTACTAACTTCAGTTCAGCTTTCATAGTGTTTCCTATGTCTTTGCTTTGAGAACAATGTTTGTTTGCTATCCGTGTCTTTTGTCTCATTTTGTAACACTCTTGATTTTTATTTTTTTTTATTATTATTCCTTTGGATAAACACATAAGACTGCCTACCTTTCTTTGTGCAGGATCTGCAAGAGTAAAATATTACGTGCACGTATGTTTGCAGTGTATCATACTGGTTTCCTGTGATGAAATCAAACACTATTCTTTTGAATCAGTTACACAGTGCTTTGCGCTGTGATTATGCTTAGTAAATAATGGTATTACAGTGAGTTCAGTAAAGTAATAGGAGACTGAAGGAACATTGTTAGATAATCTATTACGTAACAGAAGTTATTTCTTATTCTTTTTTATGTGTGAAAAATGTTTATATTTAGATTTTGATTCTTAAAAATTGGTAGATATGGATCATCTGTAGGTTATGTTTTACTCAGGGTATTTTATAACATTCTGAGAAGAACAATATACATTTCAAGAAATCATCACTATATCATCTAGAAGTAAAACATGGTTGATTTAATTCATCAAAGTAACAGCAGTTGAAACTATGCTATCGAACTCGATTCCCGCTCGGTCCCCATGTGTTGCCTGGTCTAGTCGAGAGGTGGCGTCTCTGCCCATGACAGGGGGGTTGGACTAGATGATCTCTAAGGTCACTTTCACCCTAGGCCATTCTATGATGTATGATATTCTAAGCAAAATACTGAAAATATTTATTTAGAGGCAAATACAGTTTCATGTAAAATACTTTGATAGTTTGGGGTTTTTTTTTACTTCACATATACTGTTGTTTTAGTAAAATCCTTTTTCTTGGAGATTTTTTTTCATAACTTAAGTATTTCAATGTATTGGCTGTATCCTTTGCCTAAACTAGTTTTACAGTTTTGACAGGGATTTTAATAGCTCCTACTAACACAAACAGATTTAGGGATAAATCCAAAAAGTCTTGAAATCTATTTTTCTTTTTTTTAAAAAAATGGATTTCATCCACCTTTTTTCTTTTAAGAAATCATGTAAGATAGCTGATATCTTATAGTGGTTTCAGTTTATTTTAATACTTTGTCCACCAAATGTCCTAGCTGCATGCGAGAAGGGAGGGTGGAAATATTCTGACCCTTTTACTTCAGGATACTTTTGAAAATGAACTGAAATTGCATGCCAGCATGTTCTTGACAGTGAAAATTATCCTTTGAGAGTGAAACTGTGAGATGTCGGTGACAGCCTTACAGACTTGCTCAGTATTTCAGTGAAGAATGGAATGAGGTTACTGCTGCAACAAATAGTCTTTCTAAAGTCTGAAAAACACAGTGCCAATCACATATCTCATATAGCTGTTTAGAGCTGTTTTAATCACGGGAGGAAATTCAAGGGTGATTCTTCTTTTCTTCTGAAAAGGTATACCTTTAGTTGAAGCAGTGCAGAAGTTACACTGTGGTTTCATGAGTTTACAATGGATTCCTAGTTGTCAAAGTCTTTGAAGATGTATTTCATGCTCATTTACCCATAGCTCCAAAAACAATTGTGAAAGATTAGCATCAGAGAGCAAAAAATATGTTCTAGTTATTACATATGTCAGACATGCACATGGTAGGTTTACTAGGTTTGCTCAAAATATTTCATGGCTTATGCTTAAAATAAAAAAGAATATTTTGATTTTATTACTGGCGGCAATGACTAAACTCCACACTAAATTCTTCTTGTATTAAACACTTTTGTGTCAGAAAGCTGGCAGTGTTTATTTAGATGGAGGAGTCAGTGATTTCCAGGGCTAGATGCAAACTCCTCATGAATCAGGTGTGTAAGAGTGATTTTCTCTTTGCTTTTTACCTAGAGGTATTGTTGAATGTTTTGACAAAAAATTACTTGAACACTTGTCAAAACTGATTTTGCACCTAGGATACAAGGGTGGAGTAAGTGATATTTTAAAGGCTATTCCAACCCAGTTGTCTGTCATTCATTGAGAAGAGGAATTTTTTTAAAGCTTGATGACTTTAGTGGACAGCAGTAAGTTGTTCTGAATTACTTACATAGTTAAATACTTCAGTTTGCTACAGCTTCTAATCAGGAAAAAGGAAAAGATGTAGTGTTGTAGAATTTAGAAATAATTTTGCGTGTATTTGCATTTCCTGTATTCTCAACAGTAGAACGAGCAACACAGTGGCTGTAGAAATGTCCTGTTATTCACAGGAGCTTGTCAAAGATTTCAGTCCCTTAACTATAGGAGATTTTTTTTTTTACATATGTATTTGGGGAGTGGCTGATATATCCAGTGTTTGGGTTTTTTTCTGCTAGTGACTGAGTATTAATCTCTTTCTTTGTTCATTTTTGTAGATAAAAAAAATCAACAGGAATTTCCCCGTAAACCAGCAGGTAAGAAAAGGAAAATCTGGAGTTGTTTCATTTATAATTCTACTTTTAACTGTATTTAATTGTGTGGTAGCTGTGCATTATTCTACCTCAAGAATTTTCAGTACATTTTCTTTAGAGTACTTTGTTTCCTCAGAAAAGGTACTTTTTTTTCCCCCTAAAGTCAAAGGAAACTGCAGTGTTTGGTCCAAGTAAAATAATGCCTAATCTTTTCAAATTAACTTGTTTAATTCATATGTATTTATATGTGTGTGTAAAAAATTTATTCAGAATGCATCTTGCCTATTTTACTACAAAAGGGGAAATGGGACTTTTATACTTTACAGCATTAGCTGGTATCTACCAGTGTTCTAAACTGTTATCATATCACTGGAAAGCACTGCAATGTCTTTTTAAAGAGGCTTCCCTGAATAGTGATGATTTCTTGTAAAATACTTCACGAGCACAATTGTTTCAGGTGACTGGATCCAGGAGATGAAGGGATAGAGCTGTGTGTCTTGAGAAATCTCCTCTTTCCACAATTATTTTTTTTTTTTAAAGAAGCAAAACTAGTGATTTGTCACTTCCACAGTTTAAAGATAACCACTTGCATTTGAGCATTTTCTGAAAAGTGTCTATAACATCAGCTACTGGCAGTGGCAAAGAAGTACTTCTGTCTCTCAAAAGAAGGAAGAGCAAAATGCTGACTAAATAAAATGATTCTTAAGTAGCTCCATTTTCACTCTTATGATTTACTCTGAACTTACCTCTTTGCTTTTATTACTGTAAAAAAAAGGGAAAAAAAATATAAACAACATTTATAATGTCCCAGCAGGCTAACATAATAATTCAGTGATCTCTGCTCTTTTGGAATTCTTGGTGTGTGTGGTCAGTAATGCATTTTCCTCTTCATTAGAATTGTGGAGAGCAAAAATTACTTCCTTGGCTTGAATAGCTTGTTGGTCATGTTTCATCATGTCTCATCAGCATCAATCACTACATTTCAAAGGAATTACCATGGACTGCTTCAAGAAAGTCAGCCAAAAGATCCAACTGAAAAGAGAGGCTGATTTGATGGGCACTGAGACTGATAAGGTCTTACTGTCCATCAAATACTGAAAAAGAAAAGTGTTTATTGATCTGCTGGTGTCTGGAAATTTTAGAGAACATTAATTTCAGAAACAAACTCCCTTTTGAGTTTACCTTATGTAAAAAGCTGTGGGTTTGTTTGAGCTTGTGGGTTTTTTTACTGTAGGAGGAGCTACATAGTATCACTGTAATTTAATACTGTACACATAATGCGTATTTTAAATATGCACTAAAAATAATACTGTGTCATAGACAATATTTCCATAATTCCAGAGGGAAACTGGTAAAGACCTCATAGCAGAGAGGCACAAAGAATAGAATATGTCAAGGTTTCAGTCAGAGGCTTCTCTGTTTGATCAGCCAACATGGGAGAAGAAATAAGGGCATGTTTCCTTCCCTTGGAATGCATCACTGCTGTTCAGCTGTTGCACTGACTACAGCAAATGCCAGGCCCTGTGGGAGCCATCATTAGGCAGGTCAGTTCTGAAGAGTGGCTCACCCTTTCCAAATGACAGGAAAATACACCCTACCTCAATTAACTGGACGGCATATTGAGGACAAGCACTGCCCATTCCTCTTCAATTCCCAGTCTACATTGGCCACCAGGAGTTTGTGAATGTGCTCATCTCAGCTGAAAATCCACTCAATAGCATTTAGGGAAATCAGCATTAGATAGTCTTTCATGCAAAATCTTCTGATCCTTCTCCGGGTGGGAAACCAAATGTATTGCCTTCAGCTACTGGAGACTTTACTACACATTATAATCCTAGTTTGCTATTTGGCTTTTATTGGAATTCGGTATTTACTGACTGCCATGCCAGGAGGACTAACTGGATGCATCTGATTTAGGTATGGAGTGAAATTCAAGGTTTAGATTTAAGTTTTAGACTGGCCTTCAGTTCACCTCCTCCTGTCCCTACATGTACAGCTTCAGTGTTTATAAATTACATTTTGTAAAGTCATATATTTCTGATTGCACTTTTAGCTTATTTTACTCAACAAGCAGTACAAAGTACAAAGTGCTCAACAAGCAGTAAAGAGCAGATTCAGTATCTGACAAACCCAGGGAGCTGATTTTCCATTTTATTAGCTTGTGGCTGTGCTCATGTATGTGTTCATAAATGCAGTAAATAGTCTTTTGCTTCTCTACTATAGAGACAAAAATTGAGTCTCAAGGTTTCACATGAAGTAGAGATTAGAATATCTTGGCAGAGCACCATATGCTTTTTTTTTCCTGTGCTATACGTCTCATCTGTCAAGATGAATTCAAAGGCTATAACCCTCCACTTTTCATCAATGTTGAATTCACAAAATAAAGGCTAATGGGGAAAACCACTATTTCTCTTCTATCCACAGGCAGCATGAGCATTTTCAAAACATTTGTCTTGACTCTACGGCAGATAAGTCTTGTTAAATAATGTTAAATTATAAGAAAAACTTTCTCTTTAGGTTTTTCCTGCATTTATGGGAAAAAAGAGTTGGTAGCTGTCCTGTTCAAAGCTAACATCTTACAATGAGAATTATATGAGAATGAGACAGCGTTTCTGTCTCCACAACTGTGTTTAATTTGGTTTTAAAACATGATGGCATAATGAATTGATGCTGCACTAAGGCAAAAAACTAGGATATAATTGTGCATCTCAGATTCCTCAGGACTCTGTTATCATGAATCCCAGTGTTTTGCAGGAATATTTACATTCTTGATGAAGTTCACAAATCTATGTGGATATGCCCATTTTCTTTTGCTTTTGATACAATTTAATAAAAACAACTACTTGAAGCTCTACCATATCAGCTATGTAGTATCACCTCGTAGTCTGGCTTAATAAGCTGCTGCTCAGCTTGGCTAAAGTTCTGCAGTTCAAATCACTACTAAAAATACAGCTCAGTGAGTTTATTAGATAAAACTTAACTTAAAAACACTGTATAAAGGTCAGTACACGCAAATGTCATAGTGGCTGTCTTGCCTGTCACTCAAGCCAGTGTCCTTTGCTGCAGATGTGTTGTATCTCTATTACACTTAAAAAGGTGAATTGGATTGCTCAAGTGGACTGATAGGACAACATCTGTTCTAGTGATAAGCATCTGTATGAAAGACAGCATGAACCTTTTATTAGCTGCAGAATAATAACCTCCAGGATGACATTGCTATTACTAATATTTTTGAAGTGGAATGATTAAACTGTGTTCTACAGAAAGGTGACATGTCCTCAAAATAATCATTAATCTAGAAGTACATTAAGGACAGTGGTTTTGTTCCCTCTCCTTACACATATTTTGTTTGGGGGATTTTTTAGTATTATAAAGTTTTCTTCCCGATTTTGCATGACTGTTGAATTAGTTATTTCTCAATATGCCATTACTGTAGTTCCTCAGAGTAGCCATTCTACAGCTCTTGACTGACAGCTAATGAACTTTCAGGTCCTGTGGTACATCTGTTCTATCACCATCTGTTGTCACAGTAAGGATTTGATCAGGTTTATTTTGAAGGAAAATATCTAGCATGAAGCTTCTATTGTTAAATGTTTATAGAAACACACAGGGGGAGCTTAGTTCTTGCTGTTAAATTAAGCAGAAGTGCACGATAGGGTGTAAATTACGCTGTGCTAATTCCTTGCATTGTATTGCAAGCCATCTATAGCACTCGACATGGATTATTACTCCATGACATAAACATTTGAAAGGCTTGTGTTGCTTACTAATACTTTATCTAGCTTTCTGTGAATTTATAAAATATTTTATACAAAATGCTTCTGAGGCACTCTCAAATAAAAAAAACCACTATGATTCCTGTGGCCAATAAAAGATTTTTCTTCCCTTTTAAATTGTAGTCCAATGTAGTTTTTGAACTTCAGGACACAAAAAAGTTTTGGAAGGGCAATACACACCATAGATTATTAGAGATTTTAGGCTGAGGAAACCAGGCTGATATTTCAGAAGGTCAGACCTCTTCCTGAAGATAGTGGGTTGCCTGACGAGCCAGACAGCATTCATGTTGTGAGTCACTGTATGCAGTTATGTGATAGCAATCCTTGTATTCTAGGGCTGCATACCCTCTAGCTCATGGCAGGAAGGAAGTAATTTGGACACCTGCTGGAAATTTAGATCATAGAAAAGAGTGATTAGATCAAGTTCTTATTTAAATTTCAAACTAGAAGTCTCAAGCTGCGTATCAAATAATTTCTGCATGTTCAGCAAATTCAATTTTGCCTCAAGTATAGTTTTCATCCTCATTTACATGTTTTTCTCATTTATCTTCTCAGTTTTTTTCTAATAGTAACTCATTAGTACAAAAAGTATTAGTTAGCTACTTTTTTTCTCTGTAACATTCATGTCATTTCCTGAAAATTGCTTTCAGGAATTTAGTGACCAAATTTAGTGACCACATCCATGTTAGATCTGTGATCAGATTTTAGTCAATACCAGGATGAATGTACTCTATTCTCCACTAAAGACTTAAATTGGGCAGATGAATGAAGTCAATCTAAATGCCTTGTTCTGTTGTAAACATTTATGTGAAATAACGAGACGTTATTAAATGAAAAACTACATTTATAAACAGATAAACATAAATTACTCATCTTCTGGTTCTGGATGAAGAGTTACTAGATAATTCATGAGTTTTTAGGTAGATTACAGTGGGGAGTTGTGAATCTGTAGGGAAGTGATGTGATGACTAGCTGTTACCTGTTTGGTTCCAGAGGAACACAGAACCATTGGGATAAGATCCAAGATGACTGGGGTGTAGCACTACCTTTTCAACAAGGCCTCTGGTGATAGGATAAAGCACTCTGGCTTTAAAGAGGTTTAGACTAGATATGAGGAAGAAATTTTTTACAAGGAGAGTGATGAAGCCCTGAAACAGGTTGCCAAGCAAGGTGGTAGAAGCCCAGCTTGAACATTCAGGTTCCACTTGGATGGAGCTCTGAGAACCT